GTACGACGAGCAGATAGACAGATTAGTTCAGGCGCAGACAGAGCAAGGTGAAAACGTATTCATTCAATTCCCTACAGATATAACAAATTGGCGACGGGGATTTACCTTAATTCATTGCAGTTATAACAAGCAAACGACGACAGTTTTTATTCTGTTCAGCGCAACTATATAACATTTTTGACTGTGTAAATTACAACCCAATTATAATGTCTATCTCTCTGGACGATCTTCCGGTGACTGCAGTTGAGGTTGCCAGACACACACTGCGTGATCCAGTTTTACAGCAAGTATCAAAGTTCATCCGATTTGGCTGGCCTCCACATGTTCATTCAAATGTTTTAAAACAGTTTTACCAGCGACGCCAATCCCTATCCATCGTTAATGGATGCATAATGTTTGCTGATCGTGTTGTCGTTCCAGCTAATCTTCGTGACCATGTGCTTCGGCAGCTTCATATATCACATCCTGGTGTTGGGAGAATGAAGGCGATCGCTCGCAGTTATGTTTACTGGCCCAACATCGATGACCATATCGAAGACCTCGTTCGCAAGTGTAGTAAATGTGCTCAAGCATCAAAGTGTCCACGCAAGACAGAACTATGTTCCTGGCCACGACCGGACAAACCATGGTCCCGTGTTCATGTTGACTTCGCTGGACCGTTCAATAGTATGCATTTCTTAATATGTGTCGACGCGTTTTCCAAATGGCCAGAGATATTTCCTATGCATTCTGCCACATCAATTGCAACAGTGTCCCACCTACGTCAACTATTACTGAACGTTTCGTCGACACCTTTAAGCGTGCTTATGCAAAAGCGAAGGGGGAGGGAACAACAGGAAAAAATTTTGGATAAATTCTTGCTGCATTATCGTACGAATGAAAAAGGACAGTTATGTGGCAGACACACAGATCACGCTCTATCCAGTACCACGCAAAGGTCAACTCGACAAAGAAGAGCTCCGAAACCTTTTCAAATAGATCCAAAAAGCAAGTCCTACACTCTTTACGGGGGGAGGTGATAGGATCCCACACATTTTGGTATTGACTGCTAATTTTGTATATTATCATTCTCACGCATTTTGGTAGTGACTGCTAATTTTATATATATGGTATATTATCATTCCCATACATTTTGTTACTGACTGTCAATGTCGCACATATGGCATATTATCATTTCTCACACACTTTGTTATTGGCTATTAAGGTCAATTATTTCAAATGCTGTTAGCTGTCCATATTGTTGTAAAATGTATAAATACCATGGCTTTCTTTATCGTTGTTGCACTTCAATACACAGTCACAGTCCAGCCTTTGTCTTTTGATATTTGCGTGCTTTACTAAGTCGGAAGGTACGACGAGCAGATAGACAGATTAGTTCAGGCGCAGACAGAGCAAGGTGAAAACGTATTCATTCAATTCCCTACAGATATAACAAATTGGCGACGGGGATTTACCTTAATTCAGTGCAGTTATAACAAGCAAACGACGACAGTTTTTATTCTGTTCAGCGCAACTATATAACATTTTTGACTGTGTAAATTACAACCCAATTATAATGTCTATCTCTCTGGACGATCTTCCGGTGACTGCAGTTGAGGTTGCCAGACACACACTGCGTGATCCAGTTTTACAGCAAGTATCAAAGTTCACCCGATTTGGCTGGCCTCCACATGTTCATTCAAATGTTTTAAAACAGTTTTACCAGCGACGCCAATCCCTATCCATCGTTAATGGATGCATAATGTTTGCTGATCGTGTTGTCGTTCCAGCTAATCTTCGTGACCATGTGCTTCGGCAGCTTCATATATCACATCCTGGTGTTGGGAGAATGAAGGCGATCGCTCGCAGTTATGTTTACTGGCCCAACATCGATGACCATATCGAAGACCTCGTTCGCAAGTGTAGTAAATGTGCTCAAGCATCAAAGTGTCCACGCAAGACAGAACTATGTTCCTGGCCACGACCGGACAAACCATGGTCCCGTGTTCATGTTGACTTCGCTGGACCGTTCAATAGTATGCATTTCTTAATATGTGTCGACGCGTTTTCCAAATGGCCAGAGATATTTCCTATGCATTCTGCCACATCAATTGCAACAGTGTCCCACCTACGTCAACTATTACTGAACGTTTCGTCGACACCTTTAAGCGTGCTTATGCAAAAGCGAAGGGGGAGGGAACAACAGGAAAAAATTTTGGATAAATTCTTGCTGCATTATCGTACGAATGAAAAAGGATAGTTATGTGGCAGACACACAGATCACGCTCTATCCAGTACCACGCAAACGTCAACTCGACAAAGAAGAGCTCCGAAACCTTTTCAAATAGATCCAAAAAGCAAGTCCTACACTCTTTACGGGGGGAGGTGATAGGATCCCACACATTTTGGTATTGACTGCTAATTTTGTATATTATCATTCTCACGCATTTTGGTAGTGACTGCTAATTTTATATATATGGTATATTATCATTCCCATACATTTTGTTACTGACTGACATCTCCAACTATGGTATTCGCAAATAACCAACTCCATTCCACTGACAGTAATGTTCAAAGTTTTCACAATGATTTTATTTAGCAGCATCAATTATCGGTTTTTTAATAATGTTGTTGTCAAAATGTGATTGCGGAAATTCCCAATTTCGGCCATGTGTAGTTGTCACGCAGGTAAATGATGATCAGACTTTTTGCCTTAATAGTAGTATATTATATTTTTTTGATTCTTTGACTTCCGAATGGAGTATAGATTCTTAATAGGACACTAACATTCCACTGGGTTCTCTGTTTTCACCCTCGGCTAACCCTATTGCCATTCAGAAGCCTTCATCCTCTTCGCTACATCTTCCTCGGACCTTTGTCTAACTTGTTGCTTCCTATTCGGGTTCCACTCGAAGGCCTTCCCAGCGTATGTTGCTACGAATTTCATCCCAGGGGCTTCCGTGCTGATTTCTGTTCGCTAGTCCTGGGACAGAATGAAAAAAAGCGGAGAGGTGGTCAGCCCATGATGTGGCGTCATGAGACGAAGGATATTTGTGGTAGTTTAGCATCGGTTGGTGCTTTGCCACTCCCTGGTTGAAGTTCTAGAGGCAGCTCGAATTGGTGGTTTGAAACGTTATCGGATATAGCCAAAAATTACAATCAATGGTAAGCATGCTGCTGGCGAATGCTGTCTGGTCTCGTTAAATATAAATGCTTTCTTGTCAGATGAAATCCTTCATTTATACTCTTTTCATATGTTATTTTATTATTGTTATTATTGGGTGGCGCATCTTCTTAGTGCCATACTGCACCAGATTTTGCGTTTTAAATAAGTTAGTAAACAGCGGATGTTCAACGCATCTCCATTTCCTTCTGCATATTTGTTGAGTTATAGGTTGGTGGGTGGTTAGCTGCCTTTCAGAGTTCCCTGTTGCTTATCCTCTCTAGCCGACCGTCTGATCTTTATTATCGAGACATTAAAGGCATATTTTGATGGAAATCTGCATTACAATTGGTGGATGGTGACTAGCAGTAGAATCCACCAGGATGCGCATTTCGTCCTAGTTGGGACTCGTCATCTGGATGTACCTGCATTTCTCAGTGAGTGATGATGTTCCCACCGAGGCTCGAACCCAGTACCCATAGTTTCAAACGCCAAAGCGTTATCCACTAGACCACTTGGGCCACGAGAGCCACCTCTTTTGCAATGGGTCATATTGATTTAATTTAATTTCAGATTTTCCCGTCGATTGATTGGACCGAAGTGCTTGGTCTCAAGCTGACATGTCGGCTTCTTGTGCAGATGCTTCGACGATGTCTGGGCAATAATTAGAATTTTAATTGGTGGATGGTGACTAGCAGTGGATCTGCATTAGTCCATTGGATATGCTTTTGATGCATCCATATGCTAAGTTTCTGGAGTATACAGAAGAAGCACTGACTTGACACCGGTGTTAAAATCTCCAATCTTGTTCTGTCTTGCTTTTCCGACCCTGATTTTTACATCTTCAGTCGCTTATAGTTGAAACAAAATACTGCCCATTTAGATGAAGGAGATAACTTCTTTTATATTTCTCCTATTGGATGATGGTGTTTGCCGTTTGATATAAGTATAAAACTTGGGCACTGTGGTACAGTATAATTCCATTATGGATATGGACTTGATCTGATTATGAGCAGCAATAAATTGTGCTCGAAACGTCATCAGCTAATATTGTAGCGACAGAAGGCAAGAGTCAGGTAGCAGATCGTTTATTAAGGAAATCAACACATATTTATAGGTTTTCATGTACATATTATAAAACATTGTTAGCACAAAAACGCAGTCCTCTGATTGGTTGTTTCTCACAGAAAGTTAACCTTGAATCTCTTTGTGACTGTATCTTGAATGTCAGATCATCTATATGCTAATTGTATCCGCCTACGCAATACCTTTGTTCTCATTTTTCTCACGACCAATATTGGGGACATAAACATTGACGTAAATTACCGTCCCCAATCTGACTTGCGGCCAGCTCTCACCACAATATTACCGTACAACACTGTATGATTTATCAAAATAAAATCTTATCCATAATGGAGTGTTTGGCGTTTGTTGTACTGTTGATATGTCTCCATCACCTGCTCCTCACTTCTCTGCTCCCTGAAATTCGATCTTTTTTCCCTTGTTCCTGTATAATTCTTCGTCTGATGAATAGTATTACTACATTATAGAGTTAGTGTAGTTATATAATCATAGTTCATATGCCATTAAGTAATCCGATTTCAAACATTCATAAATGTTCGATGTTTATGAGTTTTTTTTGTAAATTAAAAGCAAGTTTTTATTCACTACACACACACACACACACATACGTTACTTGTTAACCTTATTCTGTTTTCGATTTTGTTATTTTTTAATACATTTGCCCTACATTTCTTCTCTGTTATTCCGTTTTTATTGTTGTTTTTGTTGTGTGTTGTGTTTATTGTAATATTCTAACCTCCTGTCTTGTTATTGCTTACACTAGTTATGGGTTAGTATGCCAGCCTGGTATGTAGCTGCGTGTAGAGCAAATGTTAAATCAGGTGCAATTATGGCATCATTATCAGAACAAGAAATACAACGAGAAATTGGCATTAGTAATCCTTTGCATAGGCTAAAACTACGCTTAGCTATACAAGAAATGGTGGCTTTAACTTCACCAACACCAGTTCCTAAGCCAAGTACAAGGTGAGTATAATGTTCTATGTATTGTACATATATATATATATATATATATATATATATATTACCTCTAGTTCCGAGTGGAACATAGGGCTTCAACAACACATCGCCACTTCGTCCTATCTTCTGCCGTCCTCTTCAGCTTGAACTACGGCTGCCTACATTCTCTCATCTCCTCCATGTCACTCTCTCACTGACGACCCACTCGTCGCTTCCCATTGCGATTCCACTTGAGCGATGGCCTGCATTGCGCGCAATTTTACTTGAAGACCTCCTAAATGTATGCCCGATCCATCTCCATTTGCTCCTAAATATTTGTTGAGCGATCGGTTCTTGGTCAGTTTGTCCCCAGCCAGAATTTCTTGTTGCTATTATTTTTCTGGTCAGCCAGCCGGGCATTTGATCTTCAGTATGGAGTCAGTCAGCCAGCGAAGTGGGTAGCTGTTGATGAAAGTTTGCAACCTGTTTGAAATCTTTTTGTAACACGCCAAGTTTCTGATCCGTATAGAAGGACCGACTTGACATTGGTGTTGAAAATCCGAATTTTGTTCCTTATGTTGAGTCAGTGCAGAAGATTTCTAAATTGATTTTGGGTTGATGAAGGCGTATCTCGCCTTTCTGATTCTTACTTTGACATCTTCATCCGTTCCACCTGTAATTGAAATCATGTGTGTGTGTGTGTGTGAAATCACACTATGAATGAATAACTAAATAATAAATAGAGGTCAACCTAAAGTTCACTGTACAAGTGTAAAGCAGATCATCGGCAAATAAATTACACTCGAAAATGTGAATATGTGAAGATGATATTTTATGGAGACGACATAAGATGAGTGAAATTTTTTCAAAGTAGTAGACTAGATAACAGTGTTAGAATATGATAACATATAAAGTCATCAAGTGGACAGAAATAATGCCTTCAAAGTTATCTATCACATTCTATCGGGCCTTTCGAAAAGAATTTGAACCCACTATGGGAATTAATTCGAGAGAACAATCCTAGTCTTTGCATACAATAAAAGAAGTTTGTTCTACCTTTGTCCCTTCATTGGCCTTGGTAAAGTCTAACTTAACCCCCTTCCCACCCTTTCTTATTTTTCATGATACTTATTTAAACTTTGATTATCTGTTCACTTCACCTTTAGTGTTACGTAACCTTTAACATATGACCTAATTTATTTATTGATTTGTCTATATATACACATATTACTACCATCGTTATTCTTCTTATCGCCACCTGCATAAACCTTATTATCAATATTTTGTTATCGTTATAATCATCGTTATTAATGACGTTCAAAACATTTACCACATTATTATTAATACTCTTATTACTATTATTTGATCCATAAAATCACCGTCATTGGTTAAAATTTTTTATATAGAAATCTATGTAAATTAGAGTAAAGCCTGAAGAAGATCTAATTAAAAACAACAATATTAGTCGCTTATATTTCTTGTCCTAATATTAATTAATGGGAATATTTAAAGATTTGAAATCATCAAGCAGTAATTACTACGGAAACATTTGTCTGAATGGATAAATTTGTTCAGGGGATTAGAAATCACCAGCTGGACAGTGTTTGTCTTGACTATATCACAAATTGGATCGTAGGTACCTATCGGTGATATAAATTCAATCGATCTACCATAAACCATCAGTGGTTAGGACTCTTGCAGACCATGCGCATGGTCCGGGGTTCGATCCCCTGCCGACGCACGCCCGAGATCAATGTTCGGCCTGCAAAATTTGGACTACCGATATCATATGCTGAAAATCCCATACTTGTGCCGAAAATACTGTGTGGTTTCAAGGTATAATAAAAAAAATGAAATAAATAATATTCATATATGTATATACCGAATCAGACGTTCAACTTTCAACTACTGACTCGTGTTTTCGAATTCCGTTGCCCTCTCCCTACCAAATTTTTGCTCACTCAGGTAGTATCAATAGTATTGAAACAATAATTGTGACAAAATGCCAACTGCATGGAAATTGAAGTGGTTGTTGGATGCTGAGAGAGAGAGAGAGAGAGAGAAATATGAAAACAGCCTATGATGTTTGTCATTTCTAATCTTTTTATGTATATATTTTGTGAGATAAAATACATTGACAATAATATTAGCCTCACTCTGGAAATTATGTTCACACACACACACAATACAGAATTCTCAGAGTAACTTCTCGCAAACTACCTGCGCCATGTATAGAATCTTCAAGTTAAACATTCATCGACAGTCCACCGTATGTGATGCAACGTCATTCTATCTAAAACAATATGCTGAGTCTCCTACGATGACATGTGCTCCCTTCATTTTCTTCTTGAAACGCACAATAGTTGGTTGGAAGTCAGCTAAAAGTTTGCGTGGGTGTATGTTGCCATTTAAGGACATAATTGGAAGATTTAAACAAAAAGAAAGGGAGAAAAGTAGATACATTATGGTAACGGAAACTTTTTTTTAGCCCCGTGGTTTGAAAAGACCGCCAGAATTCTTCAATTATTGAGGACTGAATTCTACATTGCTATTAATTGCTTTTTTTAAAACGGAAATTTAAACTTCATAGTTTTATTAGTCAATATTTGTTTTCTTAATGTGTTTTGTCTTTTTTTGTGTGCGTAGTCGTTTGGCATTTGGTGATATGAACCATGAATGGGTTGGTAATGTATGGCTGCCTAGCCTCGGATTGGCTCAATATCGTCCAGCTTTTATGGAGTGTTTAGTCGACTCACGTATGCTTGACCATCTGACAAAACGTGATCTACGAACTCATTTAAAAATGGTTGATAATTTGCATAGAACAAGTTTACTATATGGTATTGTCTGTTTAAAACGCTTAAATTATGATCGACTGGAATTGGAGCGTAGACAACGTGAAGCTGCACATCCTGATAGCATTGGTAAGCCCTGCTTTATGTTACTTATAATAAACTTTAATGTTGACGGGTTTTTTCTGTACAACGAAGACTGTTACATATTTCTATTGATCTGTTTCCGTATTACTAGTGTATATACGATAAAGTTCAATCGGTAATAACTTGGCCGTCATGCATAAATACATAGTACTGTATACTACTGATTGGTTGAAATGAGTAGTTGTATACCACTCATACCAACCACTAGTACTTGCTAACCAGATCAGAGTGATCTAAATACAGGACGGTTGTATCGTTCGTTTGGGTGGAGCTCTTCAGTGACGCACCCAGTTTAACCCAGCTAAGAGCACCTAATCAGTTCAAATCGCCTGATTCCTGTCCGTCAATGTTGAATTTCAAGATAGATTTTGCCGAGAATTAAAATCAGTTAGAGAAACACTGAAATCAGGGAGTGGTGGACAGCTATCCGACGTTAGTTTAGAATGAATTCTACTCTAAAATCAACCAACCCCCTTCAGGGTTTTTAACCCAACATGAACGATTAAATTATGATATCAGGTTTATTCACGGATTGATATCATTTAGAGAACCATTAGAAACCAGGGATTAGTGCACTGTTAGGGATTCATCGGTAGTGTGAACCAGTGATCCCACTGGGTATTGGATACCAGAACCTTCAGGTTTCGAAGCGAACTCATTGAACATTCGACCAGCTGGACGAAATTCACTGACTAGCCCATGAATTCTAACTCCCGTTAATCTCCGATTTTTAGTGCCAATGTCATCGGCGAGTACTTTTTTCTTGAGCTTAACACTCCCTGGTTTTCAAATATTTTCTGCATAATATCAATATGTAATTGCAATTGGAACCAGTCAAATTCCTGCAAACTAACACTTGAGAAGTGTGATATTTTTTTGACATACTCCTCACATTAATGAGTCATCAAGAAGCTTGAAAATATTGTGTTGTTCACGCGTAAATGGATAGTAAATTATATCAGTTAAATTTACAGTTAGGATATTCTGCACTTCGAGATGACTTTCAATAGATTTGACTGAGAAGTCATTGGGAAACTGCTTTAACACTACGGTGTGCAATGCCCAAGCCTTTATCAACCTCATTAAACAGCTGGCTATATGACAATTCCATGTGTCAGGTGATCCATAACGGAAAACTCAGCGAGGCGCTTGAAGTGAATACAGGAGCAAGACAAGGCTGTCTGCCTGTCTGTTATCACCGATGACATTCTTAATTGTGGAGTGGATTATGAGGAAGACTGAGGGGAGCGAGGAGACACGAATACGCTGAACGACGACAAAGCCGTCGAATGACATTGCGCGCAATGCAGTCCATATTTCGAGTGGAATGACAATGGGAAACGACGAGTGGGTCGTCGGTGCGAGGATGACATGGACGAGATCGTGTAGCGAAGAGGAGATGAGAGATAATGGTCAATCGTGAACCCATCTGAAGACAACGGCAGAGAATAGAAGAAAGTGGAGATGTGTTGTTGAAGCTTTATGTTCCACTCATAACCCAAGAGAATAATAATAATATTGTGCACCCTTTTATTGATATAGCATGGTTGGCTGCACTGATTTCTCCTTGTTCCTTTAGAAATCATCATTCTCTTTAAAGGTTAAAATACACCTTACTGATAAGTACTAATGAATCAACAATCTAGATACCAGGGTCTTGTGACCGACTAAATGACTGACTGACTGACTGAATCTTCAAAGTGAAGCTTCCCACAGAAGTGCGACACTTCCAGTTGCCTTAAATTATGCAACACATTGACGTACTAAGTTAAACTGTTGTGTAACAGGAAACAAAATATGATTGTAAGACTGGAATGAGAGTTCGCTTACGTCTCCTACACATAGCTGAAGCTGTTGCAATAAGATCGACTAAACCGGAACTGTGTATCCAAAAGGAACACGTCCAGACGCTGTTCCTACCGTGGCCAACCTTGGATTGAAGATTTTTCTTCTCACCAAGAGTGCTCTTTCCCCTTAAGCCTCTTGGTTTTCTTGTTTTGTTTTTTTTTCTTTTAATTTGCTTATTATTATAAATATTATTATTACAGTTATTATTATTCGTCATAATTTATGCCCTTTATGCAAACATTCCCTCAATACTATCGAATTTTCATTTGTACGGACTTATTATTAGTGATATTATCTGTTTTCTCAATATATGCCTCCACCTGTTTCATTTAATATATTCGTTATCTCACTATGAACCTCTCATTCCAGTCTTACTATATCCTGCTTAACTCAGACCACTTTGTACTAGCCACTCACCTGACACCTTTTATAACCTTGAACTGATTTGTCAATTTTCCTACCCCACACTCTGCAAATATGATTGTGAACAGTACAAACAAACTAGAAATATCTCCTGCTCCCTTTCTCGTTGCCTTGACTTTAAAGACACATCACCTAACTGGTTAACTCCTTGACTGACTGTCTTATCAGTGTAGAATTGTACACAAAAGTGTGGTAGTTCAAAGAGAGATGCATTTAAAAGTAGAAAAAATGAGTGGTAATAAAACTGCAATGAATGAAGATGTCTTGGAGTGAGAAAGCATAATCGGATGAAGATCTAATTATACTGAAGCATTGATTTTTGTGACTGATCACAAACGGACTTAAGTTAAAGAACCCTTGAAAGTCAGGAAGCACTACTCAGGTTTTTTAACCCTTGTTTAGAACTCTTCAGCAGCACATACTGATGACCCCCTCGGAAAATTGAACCCAGGACCTTTTGGATTCGATGTTCCTTCGTAGACCATTCAGGTCTCACTTCTGTGAAGTCATGATATATAGCACTACCGTTAGCAAATAGCATCGACTAGTATTTGTCCTCACATCCAACTTGGTCTACCCACCTGAAATTCAGACAACTTCAAATCCACTACTTTAAAATTGACTTTCATATTCAATACTCTTCAAATTAAAAAGAATATTTGCTCCTTGGCGAGGTTCTAGGTTCTATCTAACCTTTATATGGACTATACTACTGTATGCTTATGCATTTTCTAACATTTATCATACTACAGTGGTTAAAGTGAGTAAACCAAATCAAAGTACAATATAAAACGACCAATAACTAATGACCAATATTCTATTATTGGAGAGTAGCATCCTTTTTGAGTGTCATAACTTCAACCTCTAGTGTTATAGCAAGAAAAAGTATGATGCCTTTTTCTCTCTCTCTTTCCTCTTTTGTTTACATTATCAAATCAATTGCTATCAAAAATTGACACCATATGACTAAACAACAAAAAAGGCAAACATTCTAACATGTGTATGATTGACATGATTCTAAATGATTAAATGCTTCTTGTTATCTGACGACTACTGCATTGACTAACTAACCTTTTACTTACTGTGCCTTTCCGTCATCAATCATAATTATCATCTATCTATCTAGTTGAAAATGTGAAGTTATCAAGATTTCTAAACAATCATTCCCCTCCCCTCTCATCCCATACCCTCCCTAATCGCCCCTCCCTCGAAAAAACAGCAAAACAAATATGTCAAGTTATGATATTTAGACAAACGTGTGTTCATTTTATGATAATAACAATAATAATAATAATACTGTTGACTTGTTTGTTAGATTACAGATTGTACAGACATAATGCTAAAGTTAAACTCTTCTGTGATTTCTTGACTTGAATAAAGTATATATATTACATCCTCTCTGGGATTGATAAATTATATTTGGCAATCCTCTGACTAAGTAAAGAGAGATTCTAAAACAAGTGTCATATGCCAATCAAGTTCTTCGGTTGATAACATGATTATTACATATTTTATCCTTGTTACTCTATTAATATTTCTATGGGTTCTAAATGGGCAAAGTTCAACAATAGCATTCCAAGGGATGCAAACGCATGGGTGTCCTTGAGCCGGCCAGCCAATCATAAAAATGCGGAAATTTTGCCTGAAAAATGACGTATATTTACAAGAAAATGCATGGAAACACACTAAAATGTTTATCTTTCTCTCTGACATGACTTAAAAAATACATCCAAGTTATAATAAGGAGTTTCGGTTGCTAAGTTAGACTAGTTTCTGTACATGTATTCATTCATCGAGGTGACAGAAAATGAGCTGGTTTTGTGAACCGTTCATCTCTCCTATCCTGTTGTGCGGTCTTCCTTAAAGAAGTTCTCGGCTGAATTACTATTGCTTCCAGTAAGACGGTCGACTACTTATCAGGAAACTGTGGATAAGGAGACATTAAAGTGAATGGCATTAACTCTAAATCTATCCCTAGTCGTAACCTTAAACTTAACACTAATCCTAACCCTAATTGCAACCCTTATCCTAACCGTAAACCTAACCATATTCCTAATTATAAACCTAATCCTAACCCTAACCCAATACTTACCTTGACCCTAATTCTAACACTAGCGAGCTACTTACACATTGTCAAAACAGTACTTAAAACCGTGATCTGAGTGAAATTTCCTGGTTATTTGGCAAATAGCATTGATATTTCAGCATTGATAATGACAGGTGCCGTCAGCTAACGACTAGCATGCGTTCAAGGCTATTGGAGCATTCGCACTTTTGGGACTGTATTGTTGAACTTCGCCTCTGAGTGGAGCATATACAGCTTCAACCATCACATCTTCGTTTCACTTCCTTCTCTGCAGTCTTGTTTTAGCTGGCTTCACGATTGCCTATTAGCGTTCTTCTCTTCCTCACGTGATCTCTTCTTCCATGTCACCCTTTAACCCATTAACTTGCACAGCATCGAACGTGAAGTAATTTGGAGGCTGTTTCAAAACTACACAGACTTTGGAGGAGGAGTGAGATTACAGGACTAAGTTAGACCGAAGAAGAAGATTCTAGAAGATCAGGACTTTTTGGATGATTTATGTTTCATGTCTTAGAAACTCGAAGGCCTATAGGCGAAGACCAGCAAACTGGCAAAAGAAGTGACAAAGACGGGATTTGAATTGAAAATAGAGAAGATGGAGTTATTGAAAATAGTCAAGCAACACCATTAATGGGAGATATTTGGAGGAAGTTATTTCTTTCATTTCCTATCTGCATGCACCATTGTTTCAACTACATTATGCATTCCGCACAGATGAGGATGTCAAAGGTAGAATCAGAAGAGCAGGTCAGACCTTCATTAATCTGAAATCATTGTGAAAATCTGCTGCACGTCACCTGAAACATTTCCAATAAGCTGAGGCAGTCTTTCACTAACAGCTGTCTTCACTTCAGACTGAATACGAGATGGCCAGAAAGGATTAGCAACAAAACTTTCAGTCAACGAACTATCTAAAAAACCTATTGCACAAGAAATATTCCGAAGAAAATGCAGATAGATTGGACAAATGCTGGAAAAAAACCGTTAGGTGGCATCACTAACAAGACCATATAGTAGTTTACGCTGAATGGTAAACGACGAGTCGGGCGTATATTTGAGGGTGACATGGAGGGAATCGTGCGGGAAGGAGATGAAAGACTATGGGTAGTCGTGGAGCCAACTAGAGAGGATGGCAGAGAATAGAATGAAATGGATATGTGCTATTGAAGCCCCGAGGAAACAATAAGAGTAATAATCGAGTGGGTTTGTTAGTCTCACAAGTAACATTCCCTGTTTACCGGGATTGTCATCAACTATGCGTGGTTAAGGAGTTTAGTGTAATCGTATGTTATCGTATGATTCGATGTTATACATAAACAATTAACATTGTCAATAATAATTATTCTTTTGCTATTTTTGTGGATGCATATAACTGTAGAGCCTCGTGATCAATAACGTATATCGAGAACAAATTGTTTATTTAATTAAGGTGTTTAGAAATTGTTTACAAGTAAATAACAGCAACAGCAGCAACAAAAAATCTTAGATTGTATTTTGAAGAAATTTTAATATTTACAGAAGCTAAAACTTTGTGTTATTTAGTTATTCAACGCTAGCAGTAAAAATCTAAAAATCACACTTCGTCCTATTTAGGACTCGTCATCTGGATGTACCCGCATCTCTAGTAAGTGATAGTGTTTCCCACGCTAACGACCATCGTTTCAAATACTGAAGCGTTATTGGCGAATTCTAGGTATCATAGCTAAAACCCAGTGACCTTGAACAACCAATCAGAATTCAGATGCTAAAAAAAGTCGAATAACCGTTAAAAAAGTGTATAAAAACATTGTGAATATGATATCACACTGGATAATTGTATCTCTTATGTGTTGTAAGAATGTCTCACAGTAACTCCAAAAATAATCCGTAGACAAATTGTACCATGAGCGATAGATTTATTCATGCAAATGATTGTAGATCATGGCACTTTGGGATCCACTGACGTTCTTCAGATGGTTCTTTGACCAACCCCTAACCCTAAGCCTTAACAGAAAAAAGTACCTGGGGAATAAGGAAAATGCTGCACCTGCGTTCACAAACGGATTTTCTTTTATAAAATCATTTGATTTGGAATGACGTTTCTCAGCACTCCCTAAATCCGACTGGTTCTTGAAAGTCAGATTTTGATGGACTTTGACTTTGGTTACTTTAACCTCGCCACATTGTCCACTAGGCCGCTAGGCCATGAGATTCAAATCTTGTGCAAGGATGTTGTTTGTCTAAGTTATTTCGTATTTCCTAGTTGGGTCGAAGCACTCCATAGCCTACTTGACAAAAGAGATCGAGCATATTTCTCTAATAAAATTGTGTCGATTGGAAATAAAAATCAATATATGTTGTTTTTTTTTATTATATTTATCATTCTTTTGAGTTCTGAGTGAAACCTAAAGCTTCCTTAGAACAGCCCCATTCCATCTGTTCTCTGCAGTCCTTCTTAGCTGGTTCCACGATTGCCCAAAATCTCTCACCTCGTCGTTCTCCATTCGGGTTCCACTCGAGGGCCTGTTTGGCGTGTGATGACACTCAATGGTCTCTCCAACGTGTGCCCAAACTATCTCCATTCACTTCGGCACATTTGTTAAGCCTAGTTTAGTAGCCGGAAAAACAGGAAAGGTTGAGCTTGGAGCTAACGATCTTCCTCCCAGAAAATCAATCCACTCACTACAAAACTTTAAAGTACAGTAAAAATGTGAAAACGCAACTTGAACATAATATATGAACCATTTCGTTGAACATTGAAACATTCTTGATTTGCTTATTTTTCTGTTTTAATTGATGAATAGATTTATTAGTTTGGTCCTGTGAACGTGTTCAAGCTTGGCTAGATGAAATTGGTCTTAAAGAATATGCACCAAATTTAAACGGGTCCGGTGTACACGGTGGTGTGATTGGCTTACATCCTGATTTAAATGCTCAACAATTAGCTTTAACACTTCAAATTCCTACATCGAATACAACAGCTCGTGCTACACTAGCAAGAGAGTTAACTCAACTTGTCCAACGTTTTCGTGCTAATGTGCCTATTGCAGCAGCTAGTATTGGACCAGCTCCAAGAGTACTGGCAATGGAAGCTGCTGCTGTCGTTGCAGCTAACAGAGCTCGAGCACAATTTGATAATCAAGATATTTCTTATCCTGATGATGGATTCAATGAAACAGCTGTAAGTTGCTTACTTTTTCCAAAAGCTCTTTTAAACTACTTTATCAAGATGATGAATGCACTGTGTAACTGGAAATGTAGTTGGATTTGCTAAAGTACTCGGTTTTCAACTAATGGGTCATGGGTCCGAGTCCCACTCCAATTACTTAAGCTTAGACAACTGGGTAATATCATCAGTCCTCACACGTTAAGTATGGCTCTTAGCCTTAAATTAGTTTCAATAAAATCAAAATTTGCTGAAGACCAGAGAGTATACTGAACAGTGAACCGCTGAGAAGTCATGTATTAGGTCGAAACACAGCTGTACAGCTATAGTTGTCAACCTGATTTAGGTTAGTTGTGTAAAAGTGAAGTCTTCTTACGTGATATTTTTTAAAGTTTTCTAATGACTGTGTGTTGTAGCAAACTCAACCCTAGAATCAAATTCCTTGTTTGCAAATAGCACAGTCTATACTGAGAAATATTTATATCACAATCTGTTGTTTGCTTTATTCCACTAACTGCCATTCAAGAAAGCAAGCGAAATAACATGACAGTATATACTACTAGCCGACATGAGTAGTTGGAAGCCCCTGATGTCAGGCTATGCTGCCTATTAGTTAGATAGGAGCTATCTAAATACTGGGGGAAAGTTTCTCTTGTTTGGACGGAACTCATCAGCAATTGACTCGCTTCGATTGATTTTAACTGGTTTACCCTCTCTGAGCTGAGTACATACGATCAAACCCGATTATTTTAAGTAAGTTAGTGTTCACGGGTATTTCTGATTAGGTTCCAACCTAGTTCCTAAAGCAAATTTATAGAGAAACAGAATAGGAGATTGGATCAAAGGAAGTTGCGTCTTAGCATATACTGTTGACTACTACTTTTTTGGTTGGAGATTTTCATCATGAGCTGACATCAGCCAGAGGACCATTAGGAAACCCGCAGGGAGTACTGGACATCTGTTTCGTCAATCTAGTTTGGGACTCTTCACAGCACGCACCCGCCGTTAGGGTTTGAACCCAGGACCTCCTGGTTACAAGGCGAGCTAGCTCGTTGACTATTAATCCACTGGGACCCAATCCAATGGCCAGCCCATGAATTTCACTTCTGCCATTTCATGGCATAGCGCGATGACTTCCCAGTGTCTTCTTCGATGAGTTACTGCCTCACCTTCACAGATGTCCAACACTCCTAGGCTTTCCAATGGTTCTCTAACTGATATCAGCTCATGATGAAACCCTCCAACCAGTCAAACACAATTCCTACAAAACCGACACAACTTTTTTTCTTGCGGTTCTTATACGAACAGTAACTACTTTACAAAAAATAAACACTGAGAACTCTGTATTATTTAGGGTGGGGATTAAACTCCAAGACTCTAAACAAATGAGCCAGCCAATCACATTAAAAGTTCATATTTTTGGTAAATAGTTATTGAAGCATTAAAAGAAAGCTGAACAGGATAACATTCTTTGAAATAATGTAAAGATACTTCCAAATTGCTTATAAGTTTTTTTGATTGGGGGAATTCAAGTCACATTCTGTAGAATGTACTCATCTAAGTGACTGTAGACAATGTTGTGTTTGAGTCCCGTACGTAAATGGCTCTAATCCTACACATACATATCAGTCTCTCTTCAAATCCATCTGTGGAGTTCGTGTGAATCCTTGTGTTTGGGTCTATGAAACCTGTAAAGCGATTGACTCTGTCAAAGAATCGTCTCCTGTGTAATTTCTTCCATGTTTTATTAATCCTTTGTTTCATAAATATTATGCTTTCTTCTTTAATTCAATTTTGATTTTCCTGTTGATTGATTGGACCTAAATGCTCGAAATGTCTTAGCGGAGACGCTCCGACGACTTCTGAGGACTAACTTGAAGTAATTTGGTGGATAGTGACTAGCAATGGAACCCAACGAGGATGTGCATTTCGTCCTATCTGGGACTCAGCATCTGGATGTACTTGCATCTCACAGTGAGCAGTGGTAGTGGTGTTCCCACTGAGACTCAAACCCAGTACCCATCGTTTCAAACGAGAAAATCCAAAGTGAATTAAAGATAATAACTGACACCTGTTGTACAAGAGGTGGCACTCGTGGTCCAACAGATAATGCTTTGGCGTTTAAAACAATAGGTAATGGGTTCGAGCCTCAGTGAGAACACCACCACCACCAATCACTGGGGAATGCAGGGACGCATAGCCGGTGGCACAGTGGTTAGGACTCTTGCTGACCATGCACATGGTCCGGGGTTCGAGCCCACGCCGACGCACACCTGATATCTATGGTCGGCCTGCGAATTTTGGGCTACCGATATCCACTCTGAAAATTCCACACTTGTACCAAAAATACGGTGTGGAATCAAGCTGTAATCAAAAAAAAAAAAAAAAACGAGTCCCAGATAGGACGAAATTCACATCTTGGCTGGATTCCACTGTTAGTCACCATGCACCAAAATACTACTTTCTTACTGAAGATATGTCCTTTCTGCATGATAGTTCAGCTGGAAGTCATTGGTGCACTCGTCTGTTTTTTGGTTCTTATAGCTTAACTTCGTTCCTGTATGTGAATATATATATATATATATATATATATATATATATATATATATATATATATATATATATATATATATATATATATATATTATCCAGAACAAAGCTATCGTTATTGTTATCATTTCTTACAGATAACTAGTGACGGGGATGTTATCGAGCCAACAGAAGATCGAGCTACGCCTACAAATACATCTGAACAAAGTCAAACAGATACACAACGAACACAATTAGAATTATCCAATTCTAATTCTGATAAAAGTATTGCTAACAGTAATAAACTGTCAGATGTTTCAACAACTGCAAATCTAGACGCTAACACCATTAACAATAATATTGTAAACAATTCTGCCCACGGTAGTGGTAGTAGTAGTAGTAGTACTCCTACCACTACTTCAGCTATTCCTGGCAATCAAGGCATTACAACAACAGCATCACAGAAGAAACGAGCTCCTCAGGTACCTAGTGTGACTACAGCCTCATCAATGAATAAATCAACTACTTGAAGCGATTTTATAGTATTTATATATTCATCATTATGCCTCAAAATGAATCACACACATACAACACTGTGAGAGAGTATTTTTATTTCTAATTGGTCGATGATGTCTCGCTACAGTTACGACTACTACTTTGGAATAAAATCAATTAGGGGACAACAATACAACATAACTGTGATGTTTTAATCACTGGAAACACTGATCTAAATAGTATGTATACATAAAATTGGAGTAAAATCTCTCCGTTTTTATTCCTTCTCTCTGTCTCTGATATTTCGCCCTTCTGTTCAACTGTTTATTATCATCTTAGCGCACAATAATGATCATTTTTTTCGCAGAATTAGAGGTACATTTTGTAACTTCTCTGTTTAATAATATTTCTCATTAATTTTGTTTTTAGTTTATGCCATCGATTTTTGTACCTACCTAGGTGCTTTACTTTTCTCCTTATCACTTTTGCATTAAGTTATTATATTTTCTGTTGTTGTATAGAAGAATGTGCGGGAGGGGGGGGCGATGCTGTGTTGGGATGTGTGCTAATGTCGAGGTGTGACAAGATAGGCTAGGGTAGGGATGGAGTAGGGTAAAAACGCTATAAATATTATATAACCCAGCCTATCTTTATAGTACACTCCATACTTAATTACCGCTGGTAGTCCCGTGTTCACCTCATATGATACATATATGTGTGTATTTCCACGGTCCCCACCTGCCCCCGCCCTACTCTATCCTGTCCACAAATCCTCACTGCATACAATAATTCATCTCAATTGAATATTACAAAAGGAGGAGAGTGGGGTGATTTCAACGATGATGATGATGATGATGCATAAAGGATGTGTGTGTGTGTAATAACTTTGTGGTCTTTCACAACAAATTAGGATTGAATCTTTCTCTGCATTCATCATCTTTACTAATCTTATTACTTCATTTTCTTCACTGTACACTTTATTATTTTGTTTATCTTTTTTGTTTTCTCAATGCCTTTATTATTCATTAACTTCTTGTTATTACAACATTTATGACAAGAGTTAAATAAGGGATAGTTAATAAACAATTAAAAGAATTAAAATTATACTACTACTGTTATTATTACTATTATTATTATTATTGTTATCAGTAGTATCGCTAGAAGTCTTATAAATACATAATGTGAATACATTTATGAGTGAGAATAAATCGCACAAAACTCATAAATCAGTGGTATGATTTCAACGGATCTATGCATGTCTTTGTTGTGCATTTTTCTTCCAAAAAACAATAGCAAATTCCTGCCCCCCCCAACCCCTAATCTTTCGTTTGCCTTCTTTTTTTGTCCTTTTGATTGTGAATGAGTTCTGGGCTTATCTACGACCTTCTTTTCTTCAGGTTTTCCCTAGGGGTTTTTTTCGTCGAAGCGGGGCGTTTTAATTTCTTCGCAGTCTTCTTTCAAAATGAAAAAAACAAACAAAAAACAACCAAACAGAGAAAACGAAATCAACGAAATAATTGTAGACACCAACCTGTTTTTTTCCTTTTCTTTTTCTGTTTGTCTTATCATTTTGTTTTGTTATCAAATGTGAGGCAATTTCAAATCATTGCGTTACCTTGATGATGATGATGGCGGTGATAATGATGAAAAATGTGATTGTTGTGATCGAGATCTTTGTTGGGATCTGTTTTTTTTTAATTTTCTTCTTCTTCTTTTTTATGATGATTTCATATTCACATGTCATTTATATTTAGCTTGATCACAGAGACATTTCTTAACACTTAAATATGCACATCACATGATTATTATTATTATTATACATCATACATATGCATATACATTTTATAATATTTTGTACATAAAATTATGAATTATTTATTGTCTGCTGATAGGCTTATATTATTTCACTCGTATCTACAATATTGTGTACCCTCCCCCCAGCTCTTTTTTCTTGTCTGTCTGTTTTGTTTGCTTGTGAATATAATATGTACGTGTGTGTGTGTGTATGTATGTTTGTGGAAAAAAGGTGGGCGGAGTGCGGGGGCGGAGGCTCACTTATTGTTGACTAGTACTCCCAATTATCATTATTATTACTATTATCATCATCACTTGTATTACTTGCTCTATTACTACTATACTACTAATTATTATTATTACCATTGCTAATATAGGGGTAATGATGGTGATGATGACATTGGTAATAATGTTTGTAATGAAAATTGTATTACAAGTAAACAAATGTTTGTACATTTGACCTGGTGACAATAAAAAAAAACAACACTTGGTATAGAATTAATTAACCTGTCTGTGTTTCTTTTGTTGCTGTTATTGTTGAATGGATTTATCGTTTGCTTTAGGGGTACTATATTGTGAAGATATAGATAGGGTTGGTGCGTGTGTGGGTAGTTCACGGGTAGAATGGTAGCCAGTCACATATGTGGTCCGAGCTTGATTTCCGATTGAAGTATTGTTAAACCTTGCTTAGTCGGCAGTAAATTCAGCAAAGAAGGAAGGAAAGTGGCTTGGTGTCAGACCAGCAACTACTTATAGTTCAAGCTTGAAGCCCTGTGTTCCACTCGGAAAGTAAAGCAATGGGGAAAAAATGGGTGTTTAGATTACCTTAGGGTGTTAATAATTAGCAGTTGTAATACAAAATTGGTCAGCCTTACATTAGGCGAAGTATATTTGTAACGACAGAAGACAAGGGCCAGGCAACAGATTGTTTATTGAGAAAATCAAGATGTATTTATAGATGTTTATGTACATTACTATTAGCGTGATAATTAGCATACAAGCAACTTCTTCTGACTGGTTGTTTTCTTGCTGAATGTTATACTGTACTGCTTGTGACCATTTCTTAGAAATTCAAGTCATATTGTACCAACAGAAGACAAGAGCCAGGCAACAGATCGTTTATTAAAGAAATCAACACATATTTATAGATTTTCATGTACATACTATAGATTATTGTCAGCAGAAAAACACAGTCCTCTAATTGGTTGCTTCTCACAGAAAGTTAACCTTACATCTCTTTGTGGCTGTTTCTTGAATATTAGATCATCTATATGTTAACTGTATCCGCCTACACAAAGTCTTTGTTCTCATTTTTCTCATGACCAATATTGGGGACATAAACATTGACGTAAATTACTGTCCACCAATTTCGGGTAACACATAGTTCTCACCATAATATATCTACAAATCGTATTTGCACACGTTCACTCTGCTGTGTTTGGTTAGTGGATTCCTTAAGGTTAAGCTTTGTTATTGTTTTTCTCATGACCCCGATTCAGGACTTAAATCATTGTCTACAATTTTGGCCAGCAGACAGCTTTCACTACACATTTACTGAATCGGCAGTAAGACATAAACATGAACTTTCATGCTGAAGTGGTGCTAGTAATTTAATTTAATTTTGATTTACAGCTTGATTCCACACTGTATTTTTTGGTACAAGTATGAAATTTTCAGCATGGATATCGGTAGCCCAAATTTTGCAGGCCGACCATAGATATCAGGTGTCTGCCTGCATTGTGACCAAAGGTCAAACATTGTGTCTTCTTACTGCTAGCCTATATCTGTGGGTCTTCTAAGTACTTGGATGCTGGCTTCTGCAGTAGCCGGATGTAGGAAGTTACAAAAACAACTTTGATGAGGAAAAATATTGTCATCAAAAACACCAAGAAAACTTCTAGAAACCTGGTATTCATTTCAAGAAAAACCCTAGTCAACGGACTGCTTACCTAGGAGGAAAAACGATTGCCTTTCAACAAGCTGTAGAAAATCACTGAAGTAGGTAAAAAATGAAGCGTAACGACGTACTACAACGAAGAGTTTCCAACATGCGCCGAAACCAAATGTGAGGTATAAAAGTCACGTAACAGAAACTGGGAGGAACGTATGCTTTCCGAGAAAAGTAAGGATACTTGCTCGTTACAGTTTTGGTTAGGCTTTCCTTTTCAGACTGCAAGTTTATGAACATTGTCATTTTATCATGCACATAAATAACTGGATCACCTAATCTTTCTGTTGAAACTACTTGATATATCTCTAGGAAACTGGTTAGTTACACGATGTGTATTACTGAATTTTCATGAAATCATCCCGATGTATTTTGGCCTTTTTACTGAAACCCCCTAATACCCACCGGAAGAAGGTGGCGCCACTTTAAAAAAAGGAAGTGCCGTATAACCGACACAACTCTCTTGCTATTTGAAAATCCACTTGCCTACAACCTGAGGCAATCAGCACAGATAAACAAAATGGACTATTAAAGGCGGAATGTCTGAGATTCAGTTGAGTCGATGAACTTTCTTAATCTCCTAAATATCTGGCAAAATTGATCAGTTTTACTTCATCTGTCTGGTGTCCTAGATAAGTGTCTAGATATAATGAGTATTTAGGGGTCCAAGTCACTTGTTTAATGGTGAACACACACGGTTTGTCCTGTTTAGGGAACGTCAGCTGCATGTAGTTGCTTCTGTCCAAGAGGCGTATATACCCAAATGAAGCTGATCAGTAAGCGGTAGGATATATACAAACAGGAAATCACAAACATAAATGAACAGTTACTTGTAAGTAGTCTATATCAGCTTAGCTGGAGTTTTGAAATTGTTAGATACAGGAATATTTCTTTCATCATGGTTCAAGCAAGTAGTTTTCGAATAAAATCCAGTCAAATAAAGTTACTGCAAAAAGTGATGGTTATATAAATCATACTTGCAGGCAAAAGAGTAAATACTTTTCATATTCGGTTGAGCTTGTGGTCGACTAAACCGCAGACACAATGAGAATACTCAACGTCAGATTGAATCAAAGTAACATAAGATCGCCAAACAGTATATCACAGCCACTAAACATCTAAAACTGTTATAACGTTCAGTTACTTGAAAGGAAGTGGATTTCACTTGGACACTTCTGGGTAACAGTGATAAAAGCTTTTGAAATTTATGAGTGGCGTAAATTTTGCAGTTACAAAGGTGTTTGTGTTCTTCACGTGGAGGGCGAGGAAGTAACTATTCACACATCCACCCTT